TTCCTCTTGATTACATATTATCTTCATTCCACTCTAAAGGACTACTTACAATTATCTGCAATAAGTGTGATCATCTCCATCACTGGAATGCCAGCTAATGCCAGTGGGACCTATTAGACATGTTCTGATCTCCTGTATTATGTGTATTATAGAAAAACATACAAAATAAATTTCGAAACATTTGGAGCTTAGCTGCAGGCAGAATATGGAATATCACAGCTTTCAAGCACCAGCTTTCTATTACATTTTTAAGTCCTTTATGCATGTCTGTCTTAATTTACAGGTATGCTATTTAAGTTTACTGAAAATGCTTGTGTAATTTTGTCTTGTGATAAAACTCTTCAAAAGGCATACTTAGTTAAGTCAATTGTTGGTTTACTCCATGCTATTTTATACATGAAGGAGCTCTGGTAGCATAGTGGTTATGAATAGGGCTGTGAATCTCAGGGTCAGCAGTTCGAAACTACCAGCTGTTTCGCGGGAGGAAGATGAGGCTTTCTGCTCCCGTAAAGATTTACAGCCTCGGAAATCCTGTACAGGGTCGCTATGAGTTAGAACCAACTCCACGGCACATTACAACAACAACAACAACAATATTTTATACTTGAATGAAACAATGTTTTATGCTTCATTGAGTAAAATTCCAGTTTTTATTTGTCCTAAGTACCATGGAAAGAAAAGATATTGACAATCTCATCAAATTATTATCCATACATAGTTATCTCTAAAGTTCGTTACATATTTTAAAATTTCCTTTAAATTTATATGTCAACTGTATCCAAAACATTAAAGTCTTATATAATCTTGTCTTTAACAACTCTGTATAATGTAGCACAGGACACATTTTTTAAAAAACTAATATTAAAATATGAAGGTAAGTAAAAAACTATTGCTACAAAATCATAGAAACATTTATTAAATAAATGTATCAAAAGGTAAAGCTATTTTTCTCCAAATGTCCTCCAGATAGGTGTACATATTTCTGAAGGTAGTGTCTCCATCTCTCTAATCCTTCTTTGAGGAGGTCCATACTCTTCAATTTTAGTAAGAACAGCAATTTTGGCATCATTGAGGAACTTAAATTGTGTTCCTTTTAAATGTTCTTTGAACTTTTGGAGCATAAAGAAGTCTGAAGAGGCAAGATCAGATCTGTAGGGTGGATGGTATTTCCCAAACAGATGATTCTTATAGGATAGCCCTTGTTACTCTCTAAGAATTAGCAGACATATTGTAATGGGAAAAAGAAAACCTCAGTTCAACTTCCCTTGTCCTTTTTTCACCAATGCAGTTTTCTGCTTTCTTAAAGCTCCTTCCAAATGAATCCCCCACCCTGATTGCCCTTTGTCCTTTCAGAAAATCTATCAAGATTGTTGTTGTTAAGTGACATTAAATCAGTTCTGACACATAGCAACCCTTTATGTGCTTTCCAAGGTTTACGCCTTTGGAATTCCATAAAACAGTTGCCTTAACCTTTTAAGCTGACTTTTCTGCCCTGAATTCATCTTTGAGGTCTTCCTGAACTTCCTGAAAATGCCTAATCTATTTAAATCTATCATGTGGAACAACTTTCCCATAAACTTGTTGCAAAATTTCAATGATTTGGGAAGATGTCCATTTCAGTTTTGTTAAGAATCTGATATTAGCACTGACTTCAAAATCATGTTTCCGATGGCACAAAAAGTATACCTTTATGGAAAGTATCCTAACAAAACTAAGACAAGTGTATTATTGAGATAACTTCTCTGTCTGCAGCCATCAACTAATTGTAGAGACATACTTAAATATGTTTTATTTTGAATATGTCTATACAGGGTCGCTAAGGAACTCTGGTAGCGTAGTGGTTACGAGTCGGGCTGCCAAGTGAAAGGTCAGCAGTTTGAAACTACCAGCGGTTCCGCTGGAGAAGGATGAGGCACTCTGCTCCCATAAAGATTTACAGCCTCAGAAATCCTGTGCAGGGTCACTATGAATTGGAACCGACTGCACGGTACTTAACAACAACAACATACAGAGTTGCTGTAGGTCAGAACTGAGTCAATGGCACTTAACAACAACAATGATTGTATAATCTGGAAACCTAGTAGCAATACATTTTAACACACGGCAGAAAATTAGATAAATTTGTCTTTGTAATAAGATCTGTTTTAAAGCAGAAAAGAATGGACAAGGGCATCACCACATTGTATCCAACAAATAGCTCCTATAGTACTTACTATATGCATAATAAAATTCAGGACTTACCGAGTAACTGAGGCTGTTAGCTTTAAACTTGTACATTCTTCTTTAAACTACCTTTTTAAAAACCATAAATCTCTAAAATGAAGGATAATAGTATCTGATACAGTCCTCTAGCTAGTTTATTTCATAGCTTTTACCTCAGCTTTTATTTACAGGCACTCAAGTTTTATGCTACAATTCATGGTCTCCATCAGAACTAGAAACTTCCCAACTAATGAACATCATGTTCAAGCAAACAAAGGAATGGGGCCTGAGGTCAAGAACTAGTGGAAACAAATCATTAATAAATAGCAATTTTTAAGTACATTGTTCTCTCTCAGGAACTGCAGTGTTCTTAAGTCCTTGTTCTTTGTGACTGCTTGATTTTTTTTTTTTTTTTCACTTCTCATAGAGCTACAAACTGTTTCCTTAGAACTGCACATGACAAGACTCTGAAGAGTGAAAACATGCATAATAGTATATGCACTGATGTTATTCAATTGTCACATGTAACTCCACTTCTTCAATTAAAAAAAAAAAAAAACCTATTTGTAACATACCCTCTTTTCTACAGATGAACAAAGGAATACTCCTTCACTAATTCTGAAAGTAACTTGTCACAGTGGGGATCTGAGGCCTAGTCAAATAATTGTCTTAGTGAACTACCTGCTGTGTTCAATATTGAGTGAAAATGGAAGCCAGGCACTGGCTCCAGCTTATTTCACAATTCTTCTGTTATTTAAATGATTTTAGTCAGTTTGGGGGAAGCCAGACCTTTATAAATTAACAGCAGGGAAATACCAAAGGTGTCAGATTGCATATTTATCATCTTTTTCGTGTAATACTTAAATATGTATTAAGAAGTGACTGACATAAATTAGGCAGATTTCAGAAGCCACAGGCCGTGGCTTGTAGAGGACCCCCTTCTGCTTGACATTTCATCCTTGTCAAAGATCAAATTATTTTAATTTAGTCTGCAAATTATAAGGAATGAAGACTTCTTTGTGGGAATTCCCTGTGGTAATCTGACTTTTGTTGTTACTGCTGCTTGTCAGTGTGCAAAAGATATAATATGCATGCAAATAAGGTTAAAAAATATGTACTATCTAATTATCCAGCCAGTACATTCCACTTGAAGACAGTGGGAGGCCTGACACACAGTATGTGTTTGATTCATTGAGGCCTGCAGGGTATTTACACAAGATTACTTTTAATTATGAAATTAATATCTGTTTATCTAGAATGTATAGCAGTAAGTGAGTATACACATGAGCAGAATTCTTTAGTAAAAAGAAATCATCTTAATTTAATACATCAAAAGGAGGAAAAATAACTTGCCTCTGGGAAAAAAAAAAAAGACATCATCAAGACCTTGGTTTCACCCTCATTGAAACAAATTGAATGAAAACTTGGCACTTTCTCTTGAATTTGTTTCTAACACTGCCAAGAAGGATCAAGATGTATTGCTTTATTTTAGAGTTTTAATTTTGGTGTGAATATGATTCAATATGATGAAGAGAATGTGGAGAGTTTTTTCCATCATTTTGGTAAAACATTACCTCTGTTTGGTCCCCAAATCATGATTCTCATGAGAAAGTTATGATAAAATAAATATCAATAATTTTTCTGTAATGAAATAAGGCATACAAACAATCACACTACAGATGTACGTAACTTATTATTGGAAATGAGAAAAGAATTTTGGGGATATATTTATCATAAGTGCCATTTTTAAAAGCTGGAATGGATAAATAAATAATGATTCCAAGAAACATAAGGTAGCTTTGCCATTCTTCATACATATCTATCAGTGGAAATAATAAACAGTATGTTTAAAAAGAAAACACCAAAAAACAAAAACTGACCATTCTGAATACAGCCACATGCTGTCAGTTAGCAGGTTCCATAATTCTTAATAATCAGAAGGTTGTCTGTCCCAAGGCAAAATAAATAAATAAAGGAAATCTGGCTGAATACTTATTTTCCTTTTTCAGTTTATTGTGACAGCAACAATGAAGTCATGATTGGTTGGAAATTCCTTTTGTTATTCTTTTTATTCTGCTTACTCAGCCTGCCTTCTCCTCCACATTTATTTAAACCACTACATCTTGCATTGTCTTTTACGCCCTGCTTAGAACTTGATCTATTCCAAGAAACCAATATGGATTATGCCAATATGATTCAAATCGCTTTGTTATTTAGTATTGTCTCTCTACCTCTCTGCCAAACAAACAAACAAAAAAATCATAAACTACTGTTTTATTTGCACAAATAAGACCATGAATCATGAATCCTGTTTTAAATTTTTCCCCAATAGTACCTTATAGCATCTCTTACAAATAAGAGGCAATCTTAAAAATTTCTACCTGAAAAATAACCAAACCTCTCAGAATGAATTTCTTTATAATGCATTAAAATTTAGCATATGATTATATATGCAGACACAATCCCATATCTCTCCCAAAAGTTTTCTTTAAACAAATATTTTGTTGTTAGGTGCCATTGAGTTGGTTCTGACCTATAGCGACCCTGAATAGGGTTTCTTAGAAGCAGCTGTAAACAAAGACAGAAGTGTTTTAAATTGATCATTTTTAGGACTATTAATGATAACTGGTTAGTGTCAGTAGCTACTTTATCTTTGATATTGACATTTTAAGGTAACTAATTGAGTGGCTTGACAGGTTTATTCAGAAAGGACAGGATTGTATTTAAAAGCTCTTAAGAAATCAAGAGAAGAATAATAAAATACCTTCCTGTTTCTGCTTTTTCTTTTCACCGATCAGTGTGATGGAGTACAGATAGATTTAATAAACATCTCTCTGGAAGGAATTGCTATTCTGAACATACCAAGCATGCATGGAGGATCCAATCTTTGGGGAGAGTCTAAGAAAAGACGGAGCCATCGCCGAATAGAAAAAAAAGGGTCTGACAAAAGGACCACACTTACGGACTCAAAAGAGTTGAAGTTTGCAAGTCAAGGTAAGTTTTCTAAAATTAAAGATTTTTCCATTGCAGTCTAAAGGTCAATATAGTATCTAATTAACATATGTAGTTAAATTGTATTATAATACATTTAAAAATCATATATGAACTGACAATATTTAAAAATAATCTATTTTAAAATAGATTTTTTAAAAATCTATTCTTTGGAAATAAAATGTGTATGGATTTTTACTTGATACTAAAACAGTAAATATTGTTGACTAAATCTTCCTATTATTCAATATATTCCTGATCTAGAATGAACTTGTCTCAATTAAAATGTTTGGGTTGCTATAATAAGGTCATTTTTACAGCTTTTCTAAAGTTTGATGCAAGAGATTTTTTCCTGATTTTTCATATTCAGGCTATGTTCTAAGTACCATATTTAGTGCGTATTGAAGTATCCCAAAATATGTTTTGATTATAGGTTGCTATTTTTCTAGAAAGTTAATTAGAAGAGCAGAGGGCTAACAAATCAAGTTTAAATAACTGTGGATCAACTGTGCTGTTTCTTTTCCAATTTTTCAGTCCAAAAGTATGGATCAGAATGTTAACCTTCATTACAATATAGTTTGCACCTGGTTGATATATTTTATAAACAAGGATATCAAAGTAGTGATAATCTAATAACTGGTTGTTGTTGTTGTTAAATGCCTTTGAGTCGGTTTCAACTGATAGCGACCCTGCATAAGGTTCTCAGGCTTTTTTAAAGCTTTGCAGGAGCAGAAAGCCTCATCTTAATCCCTCAGAGTGGATGGTGGTTCGAACCACGGACATTGTGATTCACAGTCCAGTGCTTATCTTGTGGAGCCATCACACTTCCCAATAACTGGTTACACTCCAACAATTATTCTTTATTGTCATATATTTTTTCACCAAGATTTGCCTATAGGTCCTGGTGGTGCTTTAGGATAAACACTGGACTGCTAAGTGTAAGTTTGGCGGTTCAAAACCCACCCCAGCCACTCTTCAGGAGAAAGATGAGGCTTTCAGCTCCCAGAAAGATTTACAACCCTGGAAGCCTTAAATAGCATTGTTATGAAGTCAGATTCGACTCTGTGGCAATAGGTTCATTTAAGATTTACTTAATATCATTGAGGGCATTCAGAGAGCCAAGAAAACACAGATTCAGCTAAGTATAGTAAAGAGACAATATGAAGAGGCTAGAGCCTTTTAAACTCATTAAAAATAAAATAAGCATAAAATTGAATGTGAGCATGGTAGTTATACTTGGTAACATAATGGGCATATAGCTTATTTTTTTGATGTCTTCAAATACTTGAAGTTTCAACAGCAGTGACTACTATTATTATGTGGAATTTGGTGATTATAGTGGTGAGTAACATTGATATAGAAGATGATAGGCATCGCCTTGAAGTTATTCCAAACTGCCATTGGATACCATTGACTATATCGATAATTCTGAAGAAGTTTAATACAAGCTTCCAATAAATCAATCAAAATGTTTTATACTCATGAATGGAATATAATTGCATGAAAACATAGAGCAAAATAGTTTTTTAAAGAAAAAATATATAGAAAAGAAAAAAATAGATTTGTTCTAGATGATTTCAAAATTAAGTAAAACTTAATAATATTTAATGTAGTAATTCATTTCAAGGAGTTATTTATATTAGGATAAAAAAAATCTTTTATTATGAATTGAGTGATAGTTTACAGGACAGATCATCAGGTTTGCACTCAACAAACCATTTTTTGTTGTTTCATTATGATGATTACAATCTATGCACCATCACTTAAAAGTATTTGCCTCCATTCCCTGTTTTTTTTTTTTTTTTTTTTTTATGTACACAAAACACACAGAACATATGTATTAATTTAAATGATCAAATAGAACATTTTGCAAGTCAATGCCAATGTCCTGATTGCTGGCATATAGCCTTTCCCTTTCTATGGTCTACAGTCCTCAGCAGCTGTATCTATGCCATCACCTCTGCTTCCGTCTCTGGAGTCCCTGCTTCTCTGGTTAGGATCCCATGCTCCACTTACGCCCTTCTCCTCTTGTTGGTCCTAAGGCTTTCTGTTCCTGGAATGAAAGATAAACCACTTCCCCTTTTTTGTTACACATCTTCTGCCTTTATTTACAGTTGTGACAATTGCAAATAGTCATGATAGCAATTATACATAAGAATTTGATTTGCATTTAAATGTAAGGGAAAAAGATTTCTAAGAGCAGTAGCAAGCAAATTATATTTGCATATTAGTTCATGGATCACACTATGGCCAAATGTAGATGTGCTATATATGTACTGTATGCATTCATTGATTCCTTTCAGACAAATATTTTGTGGTGCTGTAGGATAAGCACTGGAAAACAACTGCAAGATCAGTAATTCAAACCTACCAGCCACTCTTTGGAAAACCTATACAGGGTCACTATGAGTCAGAACCGACTTGACTGCATTTTACAGTTTAATAACAACAATATATACAAAGTAATTTTCTGGTTAATTTTTGTATTTGGTTCCTACATCTAAATAGTTGTCTTGTCCTTTACATGTAGCACAGAAATTTCTAGATATTTATCTGGATTCATTTTCAACAGCTCAACTGCCAATTACATTAACCTTCTGGACTGTTTGAAAGTTTATAGGACATTTGGCTATGTTACGCAAAGACTGATATCTGTATGACCCACAGAGCTGCCGCAAACATGACTTTTGCTGGTACTCACTCACCAGCTTTGTATGCTATTTGTCAGGAATATGTACACTTTTAAGATAAAACAAAGATGAATCAGTCACAGGTGTTGCCGTAAAGTGTCAGTGGCTGTAATTGTAGGAAAAGCCCTCCCTTGCCATTCCTTCTTTGTTTTCTAGTTTGCAACTCTTAGGGCTATGTTCCCATAAATAAGGAGAAAGCAAGATGCAGAGTCATGCAGGGTTTGTTGATTATGAATATATATCTCTCCCTCGATTTGTTTCTGTACAAAGATGAGGAAAACAGCAAAATTCAGAGTTGTTGAAGGTCATAGTCTGAGTAAGAGAAGAAGCATGCTTCTGACTGACTGGACTCAACATTTTGTTCTCTTTCTCAACTGATTGCACAGGTTGGACTTAGTTTTATTTTAGGATAACAGTGATTTTAGCTCGTGAGCTATGTATGTGTCCTTTTTGACATTTTATCAAGTGACCTTGTGATCCATGTGTCCTTTTTGTAATTTTATCAGGTAATTTACAAAATCATATATTTTACAACAAAAGAGCAAAAGCTATTGTAAAATCCTTCTAAATCTTGATTTCATGTTTATTTCTACTAATTCAAATCTGATATTTAGTGGGGGTGTAGAGTCGGTTCTGACTCATAGCGACCCTGTACAGGGTTTCTGAGGCTGTAAATTTTTACGGGAAGGAGCTCTGGTAGCGTAATGGTTACGAATTGGGCTGCGAACCTTAAGCTTAGCAGTTCGAAACTACCAGCCGCTTCGCGTGAGAAAGATGAGGCTTTCTGCTCCCATAAAGATTTACAGCCCTGTACAGGGTCGCTATGGGTCGGAACCGACTCGACAGCACTTAACAACAACAACAAAATCTTTACGTGAGCAGTAAGCCTCATCTTTCTCCCACGGAACAGCTGGTAGTTTCGAACTGAGCTAAACCGATTCGTAACCACTACACTACTCGAGTCAGATATAAAATTTACTATTTAAAGCATCTACATGTGTCTTTTTTCTTAAATAGTAACATTCTTTCAGTTGATTTTGTTTTTAATTTCTTTACTACCTTTCTCCAAAAATAATCCAAACAAATAGTAGTATTAAATATGAGGGTAAATCATCATTTTAAATATGAATGTATTTTCAACTTTTCATGAACTGATTAGAAGTATTGACTTTATAATGAAATCTATCAATTACATTTCAGTTTCAACCAGTTATTTGTTGTTTTTTGGTCTAACAATTTGCTTGTTATTTTCAACCCATATTGAAGTTAGTATTTTCCACGGGTAAAAAAGAAATACCAAAAGAAAAATGGAAAACATATTAATGTGACTTTTTCCTTTTCATGAAACATTTAAAAAAAAGTAATAAAAAAGATGTTTGACAGCCTCTCCAAAAACATTATCAGAAGTTTAAACTAAATCATTACAATATCATGAAAATGTATTTCTATAAACTTTAGAAACTTGTTTTTTTAAAAAAAACAGACATAATGTTCATGCTATAGAAACAAATTTTCTTATCTAATAAAAGCATTCAAATTAGGAAAAAGTTTTCATTTTGTTTTAAATTTAAGATGAGAGGTCAGGTTTTACCATTAAATCTGCATTTATAACATGCAGGGCATGATCTGGGTCTTGCACATTTCTTTTTCTTTTAAAGTTTGAAACCTGGTGTGGCTCTGTAGGATAAGCCTGGTCCGCTAATCACAAGGTTCCGGTCCAAACACACAAGCCACTCCTTGGGAACCGTATACAGAGTTAACTCTGAGTCAAAGCTGACTCAACAGCACTTAACAACAAAAACAGCGTTTGAGGTCCCTAACAGCATAAAATCTGGAGTATCTTCAATTAATCAATTAATTATTTGGAATTTTACTGTTAATTTAAAATTGATACAAATTATCAGAAATTACTGTCATTAAATTATTGTTTCACCAATGTATTCTAAAATCAGGTGGATGCAATTTTGAAATATACTTAGAGTCACACTCCTCTAATTCAGAATATATTTATTTGTGCTATCTTAATGAATATATATGATTATGTTACATATAAACACAGTCCTTAAGCAAAATTGTAAAATAGGCCAAGATGATCTTCAACGTTCTTAGCCTGCTTAGTACTCAATCATCTTGCCCATTTTCTTCTGTTGCTAAGTTCATCTTTCCTCACCCTCTTCTAAATTAAATCCAAACCTCAGAAATATGTCTAATAAATTCATTCCCATTAATGTATAAATGACTGATTGCAGATGAAAGTAGAGGTATTTGCATTTAAAAAGAAATGAAGGCCTTCAGCTAAAACATTATTTTTCA